CCCCCCCACCCCCCCCCCCCCCCCCCCCCCCCAGGGACGGCGAGGTGGCTGGAGAAACACGTGACGTGGCGGACACGCGAGCGGATGAGCTTCCGCGACGCAGGGCTCGGCATTACATCATGTACATCTTCATCTTTGATTAAAGTATGAAAGCCACTTCCCAGCAGCTGCTATTGACGGGCACCGGTTCTCTCGGAGACAATCTGTCAGCTGTCTTGATTTATCTCACCAAAACCTGCCTGTCGTCTTACATCTGGTCGTGAATTCGCAAAGTCCGCCCGTTCCGATGATTCCGTTACAAGGGACCCGTGCCACAGCTTCGTTTTGACAGCCACGAACGTCCAGATCGACATCAGCCAGACAGTATATATCGCCAGGCTTCCGTTCATCAATAAGCCAACCATCGAACCATCTGACACCGCAGACGCATGAGGGATCGGCAATGACACACGTACTGCAGGGACTCTCGACGCGACCGCCACTCAGCAGTCAGGATACGTGGACGGCCAACGCTGCATCGGAAACCTTGGACGTGGATGGCGCAACGAATTTAAAATCTCAAGATGATGAGCACGCAGGAGAGTCACGAAGTCAAAGCACCACAGCTATTCCATCTGATGACAGCGGCTCAGAAACGCAGTTGGTCGAAAAGCCAGGAAGCAGGAGAAAGAGTATCCAAGTTGTGCTAGAGCAATCAGGCAAAAAGGGCGAGTATACCTTCACGGCAAAAGATCCAGTTTTCCAAGAGGTTTTGCAGTCCGGGCTGCGTCGAGAGGCCGAGAAACTGAGCGGAAAACTCAAGGGCAAGCCAAGAGATCTCGTCTTTACGCAACAGTTTACCACATTCGACCGTCAAAATGCTTCCGCTGCGCATTCTCCATTCCATGGGTTTTTCACGTTATTCTGGATCGCGATGGCTCTGCTGCTTGCGCGAATAGCAGCAAAAAACTACAGGACCAAGGGCTCCGTATTTGGGGATGCAGAGATTCTGCATTTGATGATCGACAAAGATTTGTTTGTCATGTTGACAACGGATGTGGTAATGTGTGTGGCGACCAGCTTCGGCTTCTTTCTGCACAAGGCCATAGCCAAAGACTATTTGACGTGGAACGGCTCAGGCTGGCTTATACAGTCTCTGTGGCAAACATTCTTCACATGCACCATTATTTGGGTCACCTTCTGGCGAGATTGGCCTTGGACCCACACCGTCTTCATCGTTTTACACGTCTTCGTACTACTGATGAAGCAGCACGCCTACTCTTTCTACAACGGTTACTGTATGTCATGTGGTCAAACTTGGCAAGTCTTGAGCTAACTATCAACAGTATCACGGGTGTATAGACGACGCAACCTGTTGCGCGAAAAGCTACACCAGCTCGATGACATCAAAGCGAAAGAGGGCCCAACCCAAACTTTTCCTCCGCCTGAGGCGCTGACAGCCTCTGGTGTCAACAGCCCTGACCAAGGCGAGTTGACACAGCGAAGAAGTGTTGGCCCGAAGTACTCGACGAATCTCTCAAAGGAAGAATCGGAGATTGCATCTATTGGGCAAGCTATTGAAGCTGGAAGCCCACTCGATCCAGAACAAATTGAAGCCTTCCGACGCGTGCTCAACACTGAGATCACAATCCTTGACGAGGAACTTCGCGGAAAGTGTACCACGACGGACAACGTCTATCCAAATAACTTGACGTTCTATAACTTCGCGGAGTGGACGTGTCTCCCAACGCTTGTCTACGATCTAGAATATCCTCGCCAGGAGCGCATAAATTGGTGGTATGTCGCCGAAAAGTCGGCTGCCACTTTGGGAGTCATCTGGGTCATGATTGTCATCTCGCAAGCATACATCTACCCTGTGGTCGTTGAGACTGTGCGGCACAGAGACGCTGGCATGTCACTGGACGAGCGGTGGAAGGAGTTCCCGTGGGTTGGTAAGTGTTGCACTATCAAGAAATGATGAAGTCTTAACTAACTAGTCTGCCTAACAGTATCCGATATGCTCTTCCCCCTCCTCATCGAACAACTTCTCAGTTGGTACGTAATATGGGAATGTCTACTCAACGTACTGGCAGAAGTCACCAGGTTTGCTGATCGAGGTTTCTACGGCGCATGGTGGAACTCCGTGTCTTTCGATCAATACGCTCGCGACTGGAACCGACCCGTTCACAACTTCCTGCTTCGACATGTTTACCACTCTTCAATCTCTTTCTTCCATCTGTCCAAGATGCAGGCGACGTTCTTTACCTTCCTGCTGAGCGCTATCGTGCATGAGGTCCTTATGTTCTGTCTGTTCAAGAAGGTCAGAGGGTATCTGTTTACATTCCAGTTGACACAACTACCATTGGCGGCGTTTAGCAAGACGAAGTTTATGAAGGGACGGGATACGTTGGGGAACATCGTCTTTTGGTTTGGTCTCTTCATTGGACCCAGTGTCATCACCAGCCTGTACCTAATCGTTTAGAAGTACTAGTACGTGGTAGATTTAGAGGTCTCTTCATTGATTATTACGCAATTTGCCTAGCGCTGACTTGTGTTTCTCTGATTGGGACTGAGTTATTCAATCTTCTGAAGTACTCGCACCCTTGTTCTTTCCCTCTCTTAATACTTCCAACACCCGTCGCGTCAGCCTGTCGCGCTGACTGACATCTATAGTGCCGTATGCATCCTGAGATTGCCGGAAGATCTTGTTCTCCCACCCATCCCCGACGTTCGGCTTCCCAGAATCTTGCCAGCAATCTTGCACGGTACCTCCGATATTCTTGAAGAAGCCTTCCAACCCAGCCGGTCCGCCGCCAGCATGATAGCTCTTGAAAGGCCCAGCAATCGCCCATCGCGGCCCCATACTACTCTCCACAATGCTATCCAGTTCCTCTACTGAGACGACTCCCTCGTCGACAAGATGAACTGCTTCGCGTAAGAGTGCAAACGCCAGTCTGTTCGCCACAAAGCCCGTTGTTTCTTTCTTGATATGTATTGGCACTCTTCCACGGAGAGTCCAGAACTCCTGCGTTCGTTGGATGACCTCTTTTGATGTATCTGGCGATGGAACAAGTTCCAGCAATGGCATAATGTGCGGTGGGTTATACGGGTGCACTACCAATAATCTCGATTTGTCCTGCATGTCTTGTGCTTGCTCTGACGCCGGTATTCCGGACGTGCTACTCCAGAATAGAGAATGCTCAGGCGCGTGTTTCTCTACATTGGCCCATAGTTCTTTTTTGAAGGCTAGATTCTCTGGACCTGATTCCTGGATGATATGTGCGTCTTCCACGGCTGATTCGAGGGATGTAGCGATGCGAATGTTGGATATAGCGGCTGCTGAAGGCTCTTCTGCGAAGAATTTAGGTAGGTTCTCCTTGACGTATTCATCGACATTTGACCGGGTATCATAGATGGTGAGCTGAGAAGGGCCAAGTAGGTGTGACAGGTGGAACGCGGCGAAAGATAGACCAATAGTTCCGGTGCCAATGAGAGTGATCCTGAGGTCTTTGTTGCTTTCTACCTTCAGGATAGGGTCGTGTTGCGATTCTTCTGCCTCGGACATTTTGGTCGTATAAGTAATGTTTCGCTCTGTCGGGTCGTAGTACGATGTGTGCAAGCTGCAGCGGCCACAAGAAGCTACTGCATCTAGACTTTATGTGCAAACGATTCCGGTACTCCGACCGAGTCTCGAGACTGTAACGATCTGCTGTGTGACAATGATGCGGCTCTTACCTACCCTGGCTTGGATGTTACCCGGGAGAACGTCAGAGGGCGTGCCGATCTTTGCTGTTTTCGGATGGCTCGGTTGCTGCTATAACCCCGCCTTGTACCTATCCCCGCTCCACGATCGACTCGAGTGGTGCGAATCCGATAGGAATGGGCGCGCCGAGGAAGGATGATAACGGTCACCTATTAGAAGACATGGACGCAGGATTTCCGCTTGTAAGTCGTCCCTTGTCCTGATCCGTTGCGACTTAGGCATTTGCTTCCTCGTATCCACATCACCGATCATAAGGCGCGCCTTGCTTTGTAGCTGTTGACGAGCTGATTGTATCAACATGGTGATCTTCAAGTCAAGACAGCCGCCCATCGACTGTTCGTTTCCACTAGTCGCCACGAGACCGCATTGCTAACACTGATAGTGCCCACCGAGCTAACAGATTGGGACTGGCTATTCGATTCCGCCTACTCACCCATCAACAAATATGCACCAAATGAACTTGCTGGATTTCAAAATGCGATTACGAAAGAACGTGTGAACTGGGCTGATGTCAAGAAATACTCGACGTACATCTCTACGGCGCTTGTCAAGA